AAAAGCAACAACTATTTAGAAATTAAAACAGTGTAACTTTTAAAATGATTTTCTATTAACCTAAATCATTTATCCTCTGTTTACTTTAGGAATCGTGTGGATCCTCTCAGCTCCATAAAACTGGTGGTTCCACTGGAGCCTCAAAGTCCCTGTCAGCGTCTCAAGACAGTGATTTTTTACCTAGTATGTAAACTTTTCAATCACTATTGCTGTCAAGGTTTCCTTTTTTTTTTTTTTTTAAGATCGTATCATTGGTAAGCAGTCATGGTTTATATGGAACATGTCTTTCATTTGCAGTCGTGACTCGTTTTTTTTTTTTAAGTGTCAGAATCTAAAGATGTGAAAATAGTACTGGGATGTTCTACAAATACATTAAAATATTGAAGGCATTATGTTAGACTCTAAAAAAACATATCTTCTAAGGGAAGAGTAATATTTCTAAATAACCATAGTAAAGAGATAGAAAGTGATATGGATGTAAAGCTATGGTAATACACTGGAAAAGTAACAGTTTTTACAAAGTATTTCACAACAACCTTGTGAGGGAGATATTCCTCATTTTACAGATTTTTAAGATCAAGACTTCCTGGATCACATAGTTAGTAGCTGGCAAACCCAAGACTCGAAGCCAGGTCTTTTGATAAATATTTTCATGTCACTCCACTACACCATGTTGTCATCATGAAGAAATTGTTTCTGACTGAAGGTTGGACCTATAGTTATAAAGATGGGCCTTCCAGGCAAAAGGAACAACATAGAGGCACAGAAGCAAGAAAACACAAAGAACAGTGAGTAGTTGGGTTTAGCTGGTGAAGAGGATATGAATTAATAAAGATAAAAGATCAGTAGGGTAGAGTCATACCATCACAATTTCTATCACTAGGCTAAGCTTTTTCTCTTGGGTGGGAAGCAACTATTGCAAATTTTTGAGCAAGGGTGTGACTTGATAAAAAACTTTTTGCTCTAGGAAGACTCATCCTGTCTAGAATATGTGGAATATTTTGGAAGGAAAAGGAGAATGGAAGTGGGGAAACCAATCAGTTAGACTTTTGGCCTGTTACTGCAGTACACGAGAGATTATGAGACCTCAGAGTAGAAGAAGGAAGAAAGAGTGAAAGGGATGTTATGGAGAACACACTGAGGGGCTTTATAGCTCTTCACTTGTGGGAAGAAAGAATTTATAGATCTCCACTTATAGGAAGGAAGACAAAAGAACTGAACAAGTTATCAAGCCTGGTGACTGGGAGAACATTGGTGCTATTAACAGAAATAGTTGAAACGGATTTTAGAGTTAGATGTGTAATTAAGTTTTTAGTGTTTTGAATTTGAGGTGCTTAGCAGCACACATGAGGGTGATGTCCAGTGGGCTGTTGAAAATTTAAGACTAAGGCTCAACGAAGACAGAAAATTTAATTACATAGATTTGGGAAGAGAGGTGACAGTTGAGGCCCTGAGATTGAATAGGATTACCAGAGAAGGGTGTAGAAAAACACACATCATAAATAGATTTAGAGGACACACTTAACGTGCTGAAGGAGAAAGAAGACACAGAAGAATTATGTGATTATATGAAGAAGTAAAATTCCATAATTTATAATTTACATAAACACAAAAGTATGGTAAAAAACTTTCGTAAACCCTTTTTGTTCTAAAATGTATTTACTTGTGGATTAGATTTATGAACCAGCTTTAATTCCAGTAAAAATGTAAAGACATTGAATACTATACTCTGTATGATCCAGATGTTGATATTTTAGCTAATAAGAGTAGCTAAGGACTCTTCTGCCCCTAACGAAGATACTGTGTTTTGTAGGAAAAACTCAAGACTTCTCTACGCTGTATCACTATCCAGTAAATCACAGTTGTGATGGTCACATTTCTGTAGCTCAAAAGGTGACCTGTTGTGAGCACAGGACCGCCCCATGCTCTTTAGCAGTGATAAATCCACTCTCAGCTGAGGGAAATTCAGGTAAGTATACAACACTTTGTAAATGATGCCGTTTACTTCACAGCTATATGTTCAGTAGATTTGCCATACAGGAAGTTTTGTCTTTATTTCTTCAACATGATAAATATGTACCTTCTTAAGAAAGAAAGCCCTTCCAATCCTGGAAGCTGTGAGTGCTGACATGTAATAATAGGCCCACATGGTATTCCATGAACACCTATCTAGTGAGGGACTGCCAGGAGGAGGTGTGACTTAATATGTTACTAAAGGTAGAGTTATTTTTGTTTTTTTAAAAATATGCAGGTATCTTTTATATTAAATATATAGATATAGAAATATAGATCTAGATATCTGCAACAGAGTGGGGCTTGCTCCTATGGATCTGTAGCATATAAAAAGGCTTTTTCTGGGAAGGGAACTGAAGGGAAAAGAAGAGAGAACCCAAATATCTGTATGTTTCCTGAAAATTAACAGCATCCCCCAAAGTACTTGTATTTCATATTAGCCTAATCACAGTAAAGTTGGGTTTTATTCCTTACTGTTTCTTTTTTCATCCAATTTTTTTCATAGCTGTCTATCTGTCTTCAACTCATTTGTCATCCCTTGCTCTCCTACAGAGCGATTACAGCCTGGCATAGCCCAACAGTGGATCCAGAGCAAAAGGGAAGATATTGTGAGCCAGATGACAGAAGCCTGCCTTAACCAGTCGCTGGATGCTCTTCTGTCCAGGGACTTGATCATGAAGGAGGACTATGAACTCATTAGTACCAAACCTACAAGAACCTCAAAAGTCAGACAGTTACTGGACACCACTGACATTCAAGGAGAAGAATTTGCCAGAGTTATAGTACAAAAGTTGAAAGATAACAAGCAAATGGGTCTTCAGCCTTACCCGGAAATACTTGTGGTTTCTCTATCACAATCTTTAAATTTATGTCAAAATAAAAGCTTGTAAGTGACTCTCTTTCAAGAAGAAAAGTTATTCTATGAGAGTATTTTATATTTCTGTTGCCTTTATCATATTGTTTTTACAAAATCCACATGAGTATTAGAAGCTTTCATGGAGTTTCTTCCTCAGGTAAATATTAGTCTTCTCCTGTGACATTACAGTTTTTTTTTTTTTAATTAATATGGTAGAAGGTTTGCATTTTGCTAGATAGTTCGATTTCTCTTTGGTTAATTGAAATTAGTTTTCAAATATAATGTCATTCTTGTACATAACAATGTCTTACGGTATCATGCATTTCTCATGGAAGCCATTTTCATATTCACTTTCTTTTGGATTATTTATTACTTGTCTCAGATACAGTTTGGCTTTTTGAAATGTAACCTTTAAATTAGAGATGGTACAGCATTTCTCATGCGTAGTCCCAGGTTCAAATCCTCTCCAAAAAAGTTGTTCATTAAACTTTATTATCCAGATTACATTTTTAAATCTTATTCATTGGAATCTCTTTAAAAAAATATTTCGAAGATAAAATACAAAATATATGAAGAAAAAATTTATCTTTCAGCATGTTTCCACCCTCATTTCTAACCACAACCAGCAACCAAGGTAACCAAAGTTAAGAACATAATGTGTATCCTTCTTTACCCTTCTTCCTACTCCTATGTAAAGTATATGCTCATTTGGGAAAGGGTCTTTCATTAGTATTATCATTTTAATACGTTATACGGCACTAATTTTTGCACTTAATAGTACATCATGTGTAGCCTTCCAGATCATACATAAATCTAACTCATCCTTTTTAATTGCTGCATAATATCAAGGCTGCATCTTTATCTTATTAAGCTGTTCACCAGATTTAGCCAAAACAATAAAGATAGAGCATGAGTTATTTTTATGTTTAACAGCTTATGTCACTAAATGAAAACTTACAAGGAATAATCTCTCTTCTGAAAATGTTTATTACCAATGTCAGCAAAAAGTGTGATGCAGGATAAATTCAAAAGTACAGACTTTCAAGAGGTATCAGACCCACAGTATTATAAAAAAAAGTAAGAGTCAAAATGATCAGAAGGTCTTCATAGGGCTATGTGCCATCAATGCAGAGCCCACTTCAGATCCTCTGTCCGTCCCCCTCTCTCTCTGCCCCTCCCTTCTTCCCTCTCCCTGTTAACATCTTTTTTAAATGACCAGAAGGTATTGGGGCAATTAAATATTTTATTAAGATTATACGATGAGTGTTTTAATCTCCATTTGGAGCTTGACACTAACTGGTGGTGCCTCATTACTGTATCTCTGAGAAATACGGAAATTACTAGGGAAAGATGGAAACCAATTAAGTATATGAGTTATCTATTCTATCTCCTATTTTTAAATGTTAGGATAAGGATTTAATTTGGGAAATAAGTTGAGAAAATGAGATTGTTTTAGGTAGTACATAGATACAGCACCAAATAACATTTGAGTCATATGGTACAGAAGTTCTTTCAGTTCTCCCTTGAGCCTTCTAATTAAGTAAAGGAGAATGTCACAGTTGTGCTGTCATGTTTTAATCCCCCTTGTTAAGAAAAAGAATAGGCTTCAGTCTCAAAACTTCAGAAACAGTATTTAGCAAGAATTTTACAGTTTTTTTTAAAAATTGTATTTTATTTGAAAATGATCCACATATCACAAGTGGTACTAATTGTGTATGTATAATATATAAAGTTTCATTTTATATTCAAGGCAATCCAAAATACTGAATTATAGGTAGAATGTGAGTGTACCAGCTATCATTGAAGCGTAGTAGAAGGATGATAGTAAGATTCAGTCACTTAAGGAAGGGACCTAATAATCTATAATTATCTCTTTTTTAACTAGATAGTACTAGATAATCTGAAAGTGGCATTCCTTGCAGTGTATTTTTTTTTGTACTTTGGTTTTTGTTTTTTTTTTAATGTTTATTTATTTTTGAGAGAGACATTCCTTTGTACTTTTTTTTAATTTAATTTTTTATTTTTTAAAGTTTACATCCAAATTAGCATATAGTGCAACAATGATTTCAGGAGTAGATTCCTTAATGCCCCTTACCCATTTAGCCCGCCCCCCCTCCCACAACCCCTCCAGTAATCCTCAGTTTGCTCTCCACGTTTATGAGTCTCTTCTGTTTTGTCTCCTTCCCTGTTTTTATATTATTTTTGTTTCCCTTATGTTCATCTGTTTTAAAACAGTCTTACCCACAAATGTCCACAGAACAGCTGCATTCACATCACTTGGAACTTGTGAGAAAGGCAAATTCACGGGGCCCTTCTCTCAGACCTGAACTAATCTCAGGTAGTAAGGTTCAGAAATCTATGTCAATAAACCGGGGCCCTTCTCTCAGACCTGAACTAATCTCAGGTAGTAAGGTTCAGAAATCTATGTCAATAAACCATCCAGACCATTATGTGTGTGCTAAAGTTCAAGCCCCTTTGTTTTTAGGAAACAAAATAGAACTATGCATAAGATAATTTCCCTTTAGTTCACAGATCAGTTTTCCTTGTGTCTGCCACACTTGTCTTCAGGAGGTGTAGTCTCAGAACTGAGGTGTGATTAGGAAATTTAACTTTTGGGGTTTTTTGCATCCACTTGAATTCCCAAAACAATATTAGACATGTTTTGCATGTTGGAAAGATTGCTTAAATATGATAATCAGATCAGTTGATTGGATCTATCACTCAGCTCTTTAAAGAAGTACTTTAGAAGGGATCAGACACTTGAATTACGACAGCAGAAGAGCAGAGCTGATGTGGGGAAAGCCAAGAAGCAAGACTGGATGGGTTGAAAGTTATACTAGAGAAACTGGCATCACGGTGAAAAGACCGGGGCGTGGCAGCGGAGGTACCCAGCAGCGGCAGCTGGTTTTTATCTCCCTTCTGTCGGTAATCCTCTGTTCACCCTCCCCCACCCCAACTCAATTTCCTAATTTATGATGAAAAACTATGACCAATTGGGAGAACAGGAGAATCAGTAATCTTTCATGTGTAGCCATCCTCAAAACCTCTCACTGGTTTCAGAAATGCGTTTTTTTCTCTGTACTCTCATCTCTCAAGCCCAGTTCCCAAACAACCTCCTGCTTTTCCTCCGCTTCCCTGGACTTTTTTTCTTTTCAAAGTCACACACCCAGATTTCTTTTAGAAACAAAATTCTTTTATTTGATCTGTCCCTTCTCAAACTTTTCCTGGAAAATTATGCTGCCTTTAATCTTGTTGCCAATTTCACTCTTAATCTTTTAAAATTTGATGTCCTAGAATTAATGAATGTCTAGGTTGAAAGGAATAATTATGCAAGGTTATGCCTCAAATTCCTCAAATAAAGACTTTAGATAGGTAAGTATCTCATGATCAAAAATTTGTATTGATGAGGGGGAGAAACATTTACCTATTCAGGCAATATGCTTCATCTCCAGACAGGTCACTTCTTTCCTACAGTGATTTAAAAATCTATTTCCCTATTGTTTATATCTATTGGTCATGGTTCCAAACATTGGGATAGTATATAGAGTACATCTATTCCCTTACCCATATGGCAACTCTTTATATATTTCCAGGTAACTTCTGTTCCTGATGGCTTTTTTTTTGTACTTTAAAATAATCCCTTTCTTCAATGGCTATTTAAGAGGTATGATCTGTATTTCTTTTAACATATGGTACCCACAACTGCATCTGTTACTTCTAATCCATTTAGGTCTTACCAGCACAGTTGGGATATCTCCTCCCTTGTAATTAATATATTAAAAGCCCATTTTTTAACACTCACATGATGCTGAGTTGATATTTAACTATGAGCTAAAAATCCTTTGTCTTTTGTAACTATGCTGTTTTGCCTTCTTTTCTGTACTCAAAGCTGAGTTGGGTTTGGGGCCCATATATAAGGCTATGCCTTTATCCCTCTTCATTTTTCTAAATTCATTCCTAGTTCCACCCACTCAGTATAGTTTTGATTCCTAAATCTGGAATCTCCCAGCTTGTCATCCACAAATTTGACAAAGTTGCTGTTTGTAATTTCCTCCAAGTTAGTAATTAAAATGTTGAATGGTACTGGGCCAAGGAAGAGTCTGCAGAATGCCACAGGCTTCCTCCCTTAACTTGACGAAGCTCAACTAATCATCACTGTTTAGGTACAACTATGCACCTACTCACTAATGAATATAATGGAAATATTCTTAAAGTGTTACACATTATCATAAAAGACTATGTAATCTACACGTTTCACCAAAATAGTATCTATTTCCAGGTCAGTTTTTAGAGCATTGGATTATTTTTTCATCCAAAATGTGTTTCAAGGTAAGCATACTTTTGTTGGGTGTTTGGGGGATGAGTACATTAAATATTAAAAAGGAACTTGTCTCCTGTCCTTACATAGAAACAATATGGTATTGTTCAGGCTCTGCTTATGAAATCTAGGTGCAAGGCACTGTGCCCACCAAAATCTCATGATTTAAGTAGACCAGCTGTATAAAGAATCCCCAAATTCAACATCTGAAGGAAATAAAAATTAAAGACTAACGAGAAGACAACCTTAAAATAAGTATAAGTAATACCCTTAGAGAGATTTGAGTGGGAATATCTTTAAAAGTAGAAGTTGCTATGACGTAGACACAAAGTAAAATCTAGAAAAATTTCACGCTACGATCTTCAAAATAGTAACCCAGCAACTGTTTCTTCTTGAAAAACGTCCCACTTCTCACTCCCACTTCTCATTCCTAGGGAGTTTGTTGTGGTAGAAAACGGAGAGCTCTGAGAGATTTCCCCTAGGGAAGAGGAGGAGTCTGCAGGTGAAGATGAGAATGAGTGAGGCCAGTGTTATTGGAGGTGGTGACTGAGGACAAGGGAGCTGTGAGCTGAAGCCAAAATAGTAGGCAGAGGCCAGAATCACACAGGACTTTGGGGAAGAGTTTGGGTGTCATGATATGTGTAATGGAAGCCACTAGATAAATTCAAGCAGAGAAATGACATGACGTCTTGTGGTTGGTATGTTTGAAGATTACTAAAGATGACTGGAGAGGGGCTAGAGCAGGGAGAGCCATTTAAGAGACTGTTCAGTAGATGATGTCTTGACTAGAATGGATAGAAATGGCCTGATTTCAAAACTGAACTGCTGGAATTTAATATTTTTTTTAAATTACTGTAAAGAAATGCCCTGTCATTCAATGCCAGACCACCTTTCTGAAATAGAAATGTATCATGTCACACCTGTTTAATCTTCAAGGGTCCCCCAAACATCCACAGGAGAGAGGCCAATCTCCTGATGGCAAGAAACCATTTAAGTTAGCAGCTGTGTAGCTTTTCAGGCTCTGCTTCTAGCATCACCCTCTCTATGCCCTAAACTTCAACTACACCAGACTACTTTTTTGTTTGCATTTTTGTTTTGTCATTGCCTTGCGTGTGCTGTGAACTTTACCTGGAATACCACTTACTCTTCCTCTCATGCACCCCATGGCACTGAGTCATCATTCCCAACCATAAGGACACTCTCGTAAAATCCCAGACAGGTTAGTTGCTGATTCCTTCATGAGCTTATTGCAGCCCAAGTGATTTTTTCATTGAGTTCTGACTCTTTGCAGCAGACTGAGAGCCCTGAGGGCAAGGACTAGGCTTTGTTATTTGTGTTCCTAGAACTATGCCTCCTGAGTTCTTTAACTGCTTTTCAAAATGAATAAATGAATGGGTAGATCATGCTGAAAATTGACTCATAGTGTGTTCCCTCAGTGACATCATTTCAAAACTTTCTCCTGGATATCCTTCAACCATTCTTTACGTTATTATGGTTTGAGTCAAAAGTTGTTTTTGTCATTCTCTTGTGTCATCTCATGAATAGCATCATTTTTTTTTTCTTTTCACCAACCCACAGGAATGTTCCAGCACAAAATGGCTGGTCATTTTTCTTCGTGCTGTGGTAAACATGTCACACCCAGTAATGGAGAACCAGCAGAAGACAAGCAAGACGAGGACCAAGAAGAAAAAGTCCAAATTAAGCATAATATTGTACTAACTGGCATCTGTCTCATAGTGGGATATATGAGGCTCGGGCACACTTGTATTGCCCACAGAGGTTCTTAGGCTTTTCCTGAATGTTTGAGCTATTACTAGACTTTTTTCACTGTTTGGGGCTTCATATTATGGAAAGCTCCACCCAGTAGTCAAGGACAAGCTATGCATACATCTTGGAAGCATTTTGTGGATTTACTGTCTTCATCTGACTTTCATCATCTTTACTCATTGAGCCAATAGGATAGACAGGCCATAAAGACAATCACATTTATGAAATTTGTTATCACACCTCTTTGGACAAATTGTGAGTCGCTTATGAGGAAGGGAAATGGATCGTGACTGCCTGCATATGTGAGTATATTACTTTTCCCTTCAGACTCATAAAATCTTACTCTAATCAGGGAGACTTCGTAGGCTATTTTAAAGCCCTGCCAACCTAATATTTCAAATTTAGCTGACGACTAGTCTATTTGTGGAAAATAGTCATTTGTATTTCTGATAATACTAGATTTTTTAAGTTGGGGCCTTCATCTCCCTGAAAGTTACATTCATTTATTTCATATTGATTTTACAAATTTTATGAAAAATAACTGGTAACTCCAGGTTCATCACCCACTAACAGTTCATGAACCTGGACTGATAGTTTAATTCTGTTCCCTTCTATTCAGTTATGAACCTTCTACACATTAGAAACTGTGGGGACATAGAAATAGGGTCTTCCACAATTAGCATATATATCCTAGTGATAGCATAAGACATATAAAGAACAGCATAAGCGAAAATGACATTCCATCAGAAAAGTATAAACAAGTGCTGTAAAATTTCAAAAGTGAGGGAGATCACATTTGCACTGGGGGTCAGGAGAAGTTTCTTAAAGAAGGTCACTATCAAGATAGACTTTGCAACACTGGATTTTGGCAAACACAAGGGCATGTACAGTAGAGGATGCCATCTGTAGAAAACAGCCAAGCAAAGGTCTGAGGACAGGCAAACAAGAGAGGTCTTCTGTGGGAATGTCCTCCCCAAGGGGTGCAACAGGTGAACTCCACTTTTCCCATATATGCAGAAGAGAAGCCTGGTGAGATGCAGGGAGGCGCTGCGACCAAGTTCTACTTCAGGATCATTTTCCGAACTCATCAAGCCACTTTCACCATGGGTTGTAGATAGATAGGAAAATAAAAGTAGATAAAGTTTGAAAACTACCGTGTAAACGGAAAGTGTGGGATTTTTGTTTTTTTAAACAATGGACTTTTATCCTGTGGAGAGTCCTTCCTGAACCCTGATTCTTGTGAGGGCCCATGCCTCAGATGTGAGCAGCACGTTGTATTTTACTCACTACACTCATTCTTTCTATAGGAACCATAGCATTTACTCACTGCATGAGTGTGAAGTAGGAAAGCTGAGTGAAGGATATCTTCATGTACGCGAAGATCTTGATGTCCATCTTAATTATATTGATGAATGGCTATTTTGTTTCTAAAGGTAAGACCAAAAGCTGGGCATATGTAACTAAACAAACAAAAAACACCTATGAAGTAGTTAAACGAATACAAACTCCTGTATTACATGAATATTAACCTACAGTATAGTTCTCAGAGACTAAGCTAGACTGTTGAGGAGGCTCCAAGTTACGTTATGCAGTTTCACATGTAGCCACTATGAAATGTTCCAGCCCTGAGAAAAGTAAATTTATCTAGCTTTTCAGTTCTCGATAGCTTTTCAGCATAATTGTCTCATTTAATCATCAAAGCCAACCTGTGTTACCTGATGGCCATTTTAGGAAATCCAAATATTGTTTATTCACAAAAGACATCTTAATAGTTTTGTTTTTCTTTTTTTAATTTTGACTACAGGGTCTGAATTTGGGATAGGCAAAATCAAAAATATTGTTAAGAAGATCAAATATAAGTCATAAATACTTAAGAATAGGAAATATTCACAGGCAACATTGTCAAAATACACAGCAACAAACAACAATGGTTATTAGAAACAATATTTTTAGAAATAATTTTTTTAAAGTAAGGAATCTTTGACAACATGATTTGAGAGAATGTCAAAAAGCACTAACAGTTGTGTGGGATCAAAAGGAATTTTTACTATTTCAGGCATAAAATAACTTAGTCATTTTACAGAAAAGAAAAAAAAGACCCAAGTTCTGATTGTAATCCTTTATCCTTTTGTTCATTCATATAAAAATTTGCAGTAAAAGATTTAACAATGCACTTTTATATGTTTGTATTTAGCTATATCCAGGTATATAAATATATGAATAATTGATGCATATAAATCTTTAAAATATTAACTTATTAATATATCAAATAAAATAATGTATATATTTTTTCCTATGCATATAAGTATGTATTTTTCAAAATGGTAATTATATGTATGCCATAATAAATTTACCATTTTGAAAAACTATAATAATTTTCTTAATAAGCAAACATAAATATATATTTTAAAGCAACCTAGGAATAAATAAGGTGAGTTTTGTTCCCATTTTATGGATCAGGAAGTGAGAATTGGGAAGACGAAGTGATTTCCCAAGGTTACCCAGGGAAGACACTCATGAAACCTCTCATTTGACAAATGCTGACTCTGGCCCAGGCATAGTGCTAAGCTTTAGCTAATCAAAGATCAATAGGCACATCCCTGTCCTTGAGGAGCCACATCCCATCATGAGTGCAAGTCTTCAAAATCTTAGATATGTAGGAAAATTTTTTAAATGCTCTAACAGACTATGGAAAAGGTACTCTAATATCAAGTCAGGAAACTTAGATTCCAATGTAACTCTAGCAGCACAGAGCCACTTGAGAAAAGTACTGAAATATACCAGCTTGCAATTTTCAGAGCCATTAAACGAGTGGCTCTCAGGTGAAATTCCTAAGGACCTACCAGTACCAAAAATTCAATGAACATTAAGAATTGCTACTTACAGGTCTAGAGTCAACATTCACATCATTGTGTGATGAACATACCTTTTCTTATGAGCTTGCTATTTTTGTAAAGTACCTACTTTTTAAAAACCTTCTGGTAATAGCATTTGTTTTATTTACTACTAATGTACTTGTAAGCCATGCATATTAGCGCCATCCAAAGAAGCTCCAATACCTCAAAGTAAGTCAAAACCTTCACAAAATTATTTTTCAACAAGCATATATTTGAATGCTTAGAGAGGAAAAAAAAATGAAAAAGAAGCATTCTTGCCTTTAAAGAGATCAGCCTCGGTATAAAAGCAGAAAACGAAAACCAAAGAATTATCCAAAATGTACAAAGCATGGAGCCTGATGCGGGGCTTGATCTCACAGCCTTGAGATCATGACCTGAGCCAAAATCAAGGTTGGAGGCTCAACTGACTGAGCCACTCAGGCGCCCCTCAACATACTTTTTAAAGGATATGACCGCGCTCATATATGTAGCACTGCATTGGACATAGCACACTATGGCAGAGAGTGAACTTTATTATTTTATTCACGTAGGTATATATGTGTGTATTTTATTATGTTTGTGTGTAAGACCCCTGATACAGAGCTCACAAAGCTAAAATCTAGGTGTAGGCAAAGCTGCATTCCTTTTTAGACTCTAGGAATGAATCCATTTCCTGGCTCCTATAGGTTATTGCCAGAATTCTGTTCCTTGCAGTTGTAAGTCTGAGGTCCCCATTTTATGCCATTGTCTTCTGAGAGTTGTTCCCAGCTTCTAAGGGCTGCCTACACTTCTTGGCTCATGGTCCACTTCCATGTTCAAAGCCAACAAGGACAAGGAGAACCTCTCTGTAAATTTCAGCCTCTCCTGCCCCTCTTCCAAATGATACAAGGTGATCTCTTCAAGTCTGACTGGCACCCTTAATTCCATCTGTAACCTTAATTTCCTTTTGCCACCTATGCAGCATATTCACAGGCATGACACTGGGTTTAGACTGAGGGGGACAAAATCTTTCTTCCACACTGTTAATGCCTCAGCATATCTTCCTTTGTCACCTAGCAAAAGTTTAAGGGAAGATATTTTCTCTGATGGGAAGCTATAAATATGCTTGTAGGAAAGTGAATATAATTGACTTTTTCAAAACAGATCATACCAGTTTATTTATTTCAGGATGACAGTTTCTTTTTTTTTTTTTACATTATATAACTTTATTTCTTTTTATATTTTTAATATGAAATTTATTGTCAAATTGGTTTCTATATAACACCCAGTGCTCATCCCAACAGGTGCCATCCTCAATACCCATCACCCAACCTCCCAGCCCTCCCACCCCCCATCAACCCTCAGTTTGTTCTCAGTTTTGTTTTTTGTTTTTTTTTCAATATATGAAATTTATTGTCAAATTGGTTTCCATACAACACCCAGTGCTCATCAGGATGACAGTTTCTTAATGGATTAAAGAGAAAGTGAGAGAAAGTGAGAGAAAAGATGTCTTGGAGAAAGTGCTCTAAACTGTGAGGAGAGTCATCACCTTTGCCCACAGGAAAATCTTCCATTTGGATGCAATGCTTATATTCTTGGGTTCTTTTCAAATGTTCAAACAGTAAAATGTCCTTTTGTTTTTCTTCTTTGGACTCTACCAGTGTCCGTTTCTGTATCCATGCCCGTTGTGACCGTCCTTTATTTGCTGACCAATGTGGCTTACAATGTCATCTTACATATGCCTTCTTTCCCGAAGCTGTTGCTGTGGTAAGTTTGAAATGATCCACTGCTCCTTGCTTCCATTCAGAATTTTTTCATAAGAGGAAAATATGGGCAATTTGCACCTCTCTGTGCTAGATTGGTTGTTGGAAAAAAATGAGGAAAATAATAACATGGGAGCACTGTGAGAATTAAATGAGTTAATACATGCATGTCTTACCACAAAGTGTGGCACAGGAATAAAGAAAGGTTCCCTTTCTTCTATTGTTGTTGTTGCACTAACTCCAGATCAGGATGAGACACGCATTAATGTCACAATTATCCACTAAGGACCACATTATGCATACCAGGCAGCATCAGGAGGGGTGGTTCTGTTTCCCTGTGGAAACTTAGAATGGACCCACAAAAACAGGCATAGGATTTCCTCATCAAATCTGCTTACAGCCAAGGTAGTCACCAGAGTTGAAATGGGAATTTTCCAGCCATGTTTACATTACTGTATTGGTGACCTGCGTGGTTTTCAAAGGGCCTGAGTTAAATTATCTACTTTCCTGCCCAAAGACTAAGACTGCATTTATAACAAATTCATATGAGGAGATTGGTTGATAAGACTTGTGTGAGGAATTGACTGTGTCCACAATATCCTAATATACGGTCTTGTTTAGCTATTTTTCTTTTCTAACCTTTTATTTCCACCTTTGGAAAAACTCCAGATTATATACCCCTAGATCTGATTCCCAAACTGCCACATTTTTATAAATAGATATTCTAATTTCCTATGAAATCAAGAAAAAAAGAAGGAAGAAAAATATTGGGAGGCTTCACATGAGAGTAGTGTTGGTCTAGTATGAACTTATAATTCAGTGTTAGGTAGTTGAGGGGAACTCAACCTAGAGACATTTTTGCAAATATGTGTGATATAGGTATTATTTATCTTTTACATGTTAATTGACTGACTTACAGTTCATTGATACTTCTCGACGCAAACCATAGGGATCATCAGTCTCTTAATTAGTATTGAGTCCATTTCATTCCAAATTTCTGTATCCTGAGGTTAGTGCTAAAAATAAACTAGATTCCAGGGGCGCCTGGGTGGCGCAGTCGGTTAAGCGTCCGACTTCAGCCAGGTCACGATCTCGCGGTCCGTGAGTTCGAGCCCCGCGTCAGGCTCTGGGCTGATGGCTCAGAGCCTGGAGCCTGTTTCCGATTCTGTGTCTCCCTCTCTCTCTGCCCCTCCCCCATTCATGCTGTGTCTCTCTCTGTCCCAAAAATAAATAAATGTTGAAAAAAAATTTTTTAATAAAAATAAACTAGATTCCCAATATTGAGTTTTCTTTTCACTAATAACTTTCTTTTCTTATTCCCTCCCTGCCCCCAGACATTTGGTAATAAGGTCCAAAGCCATGTTCAGGGACTAATTCCTATTACAGTGACCATGGCTTGTGTCAGTGAACTGAACTCAATCAGTCATTACAGCATCCAGGTAAGAAAATCAAATGTGCTGTAAGTTATTTGTGTTTTCAAAGCTCAGCTAAGGGAAATCAATCACTGCTTATGTTTAATGTCACTAATGAACAACAGCCAAGCGTTTTGACCACCTCTTGGTCTTGCTTTTACCATCAACCTATTTCAGGGATTTCAAATGCTAAACTAGAGATTCTGTTTGGTCATGTTTGTCTTTTTCACCAGTCAGTGCATAAATGCGGCCCATTTTAAATAGACTCTAAAAAAGAGTCAATCTTTTCCGGGATGTGGGAAAGCAGGGTTTGCATGAAAACTGTTTAGTAACATCACATACTGCAAATAGTTGTTTGTCAGGGATAATTGCAAAGCAAAGTACAAATGTGGAAATGTGCTGAGTGCATGAATCCAAAGGGAGAAGAGCCAACTGATGAACACAGCAAAACAGGCTGTGAAAAATCAATGCTAATACACACCCGCTCACCTAGTGTACTTAAAATCAGATCCCTTGGTTGGCCACCTTAGCCCTACAGCTGGCTAGCATCATGATGGGCCATCAGAAAACTGCTCAACAAAGTAATTGTAAAAAGAGGAGAGATTACAGTATAGGTGTGCTGGAAGGAGATTTGGGGAAAATGTTTCTAGTTTGGGATGGGGTGTAGTAAAGACGGAGCAGTTCCCACCACCCTCTGGGTCTCAGCTATTTTTATTGAAATGATAATAACAAATCCGTTTTGCTAATCTGGTCTCATTTAACAAACCCGCGAAATTGTTGCTAACGATAGTACCATTATGAGTTGAGTAAATCAGCTCATTCAATGTGACCTAACGGATTTATCCAAGGTCATATCAGTGAACAGCAGAGCTTGGGACTCACATCTTCTGACTCCAGTCCCTACGGCTTTTCCACCTCACCATGCCTCCCCTTGCTATTAATGACTGAGTTCTGCTTCCATCCAGTGAAAGACAGGATTTGGCTCCCATTTTCATTTTCTCTCGGTTGTGTTATTTAGTGGTTGCACAAAACCTCAGTGGCAGCACTTAGTCCTATCTGCTCTTTTCTCATCCTTTTCCTTACTCGTAATAAGCAACTAAACAAAATGAGAAGTACAAGGGGATTTCCAGTGCTACTATCTGGTTCCTGTGTGGCCTTTGATTTTTCTGGAGTAATCAGAAAAAAAAAAAAAAGTACCTCATTATGTGTGCCATCTGAATTTCTTTCTTTTTCTTGCCCTGAATTTTTACAATAGAAATGCCAATTGCTATGTTTGCAGAGCATCTAACTGATGGCAGCCAAAGCCTCTCATTCTTCACACCCAGTTTTCAGGCTCCTTTATGTGGGCCCAAAGGAAGGGCACTTTCCCTTTGGTTTAAGCATGATCCCTGTGGAATGATTCACACCACTGGTCCCTGCTCTTCTCTCCAAAGTAAGTGAATCCAATGTACATCTTACAGAAACTGTTATTGTCAAGAATTCCTCACTTGTCCCACTCATTTTCTATATACATTTACTGGAGAATATTCAGCTCTCTGCCCAGCTATAAAATAAGGAATGCAAGGGCCTATGTCTTGCCGAGTCCCGAGGGAGAACAGCATCTTAAAGCGTCTTATTCTATGAGGGAACTAAGACCCTGGGCCAAAGACTGAGCAGGGGTAAACAAGATGTAGATTCTAAAGATAGGAAGGCTCCCAGGAAGAGTAAGTAATGCTTTCGCTGAGTTGTCATGAATTGGAAATTTCCCTGTAGTCAGGGAAACAGGAAAAAAGGGATAGTCAAAAAGAGAGATTATATTGGAGAAGATATTGAACATAAAACGGATAATTTGTACTTAGTTGTTCAGTGTTTCCTATGTGCTAGATACTAGATGTCATCGCCAGATGGGTAAGTGATTGACCTGGGACAAGACATACAGCAGCCAGATGATCTTTTAGCACATCATTCCATTCTCCTATTCGATAACCTCCAAAGGGAGGTTCTCCTTACAAAGTAAAAATCCAAATTCCTTAGCATGACCCACAGTGCCCAATATGATCAGCCCTGAGAATTTCTTCAAGCTCATCTCCTGCCACATCGACTACACTCCAGTCCCTCTGGCTTTCTTTCTATTTTACAGGACAAACCTTTGCTTCTCCTGGGCATTTGCATTTATTGTTTCCTGGCCCCCTTATCCCTCATCTTTCAGGTCTTAGTTCAAAGGCTTTGAGAAGTCTTTCATTAGCACTCTAAGATAGAAGCCATCTATCCCCAACCCACCACATGACTATCTTTGTCCAATATCCCTATCTTACATATAACCTCATAGTACTGATTAAACCGAAAATGACTATTTGCTTTGTATTATCTGCTTTCTCCAACAATACTGTAAGCTCTGTGGAAACAAAGATCTTAATATGTCTCTTAGACACTGCTCTGTTCTCAGTATCTAGAGAACTTGGCAATCATCTGTTGGATAAAGGAATGAATCACTGTCGTGAGGATGAGTAAGCTGATGAGTGTTCATAATCAGGAGAAATGAGATTATTTTAAAGAGATTTTCTGGGTAGGGTTTTCTAGAGTAGAAAACTTAAAGGCTGAGTTGATAAGAGATAAATAATAATCCATGAGGAACTATGTTATAAAAGGTTCTTAAGAAAGGATCTTAATATAGCAAGCATTACTATATTCATTGTGAATATATTCATTGTGAAATCCTGGAAATATAAACCAATGAACTGAAATATCATCCATTCATTACGTTGGTAGAGCATGGTAGCCATGATGAATCTTCTGGTGGAAGACATGTTTCAACTCTCATCATTCCTTCTGCTACTGGTTCTATGCCAGGCTCTCCGTTATAGTATTAATGAATGTAAGGAAAACACAGTCTGAAAGACCAAGGCCAATCAGAATGAGCAACATATACACTATCTGGAAATGTCTTACTACATTTCTTGATAATTTTTTAACTAGTATAACGGATTATTTATGTAGTTTCTTTTTAAATTTTTTATTATTTATTTATTTTTTTAACGTTATTTGCTTTTGAGAAGCAAAGAGAGACAGGCCATCAACAGGGTAGGGGCAGAGAGAGACGGACACAGAATCTAAAGTAGGCTCCAGGCTCTGAGCTGTCAGCACAGAACCCTATGCAGGCCTCGAACCCACAAACCATGAGATCATGACCTGAGCCGAGGTCAGATGCTTAACCGACTGAGTCACCCAGGCGCCCTATTTCTTGTTAAAATTTTTAAATAAAATAACCTATGAGAAGCATAGACAACTTTTGAAGACACCGTTCTTTACTCAACATGGATATAGCTAGGAATTTATTCTAAAGATAAAATTTAACAGAAATGAAAGCATATGTGTGACAATGTCAACTATATCTTTATTTGCAAGAGCAAAAGCAAACCAGAGAAAATATCGATCAACTTGGTGGGGAATTATATAAATAATAAAAAATAATAGCCATATAAATGATAGAAATACTTACATGACAAAATATTTAAGTGAAAATAACATAATATAAGATAGCATTAGTAGTATGATATGTTGGGTCAAACACAGATTTTTGAATATGACATCCATATTTATACATCCAAATTACATGTAGTTACTTATGACCCATATGACTTGGGTATCTCCATTAACCTTACTAAGCTACTGTTTTCTCATTTATAAACTAAGAAATACCAGGGCACCTGGGTGTCTCAGCGGGTTAAGTGTCTGACTTCAGCTCAGGTCATGATCTCATAGTTCATGGGTTCGAGCTCCATGTTGGGCTCTTTGCTGACAGCTCAGAACCTGAATCCTGCTTCAGAATCTGTGTCTCCCTCTCTCTCTCCCTTCCCCTGCTCATGCTCTGTCTCACTCTGTCTCTCAAAAATGAATAAATGTTAAAAAAAAATTTTTTTAATAAATAAATAAAGAAATACCAATAGAGCAATTCTATTTCACAGGGACAATTTTTTGTTAACTAAAATTCATTTATAAAAATTTTATTGAACTGCCTCATTAAAAATATTCATGTGAAAGCCATGGACTCTGAGAAATTGTGAAATATACATTACATTGTAGACTTAACTTTTATATCTCAACACCAAAATAATTAACAGAACTTGCGACTGTGTTATGGGGTGCTTTGCAAGCCTAACTATTCAAACTTCCTGGTGAATAATACATAAAAATTAAGAACTAAGACTAAGCAATATGAAATAAAGTACTAATAACATAGCAAAGTTGTGGCTTTCATTTGTTTTCTTGAATTGTTTTCTCATTTACTGTCATAAGCCATTTTTTCTTCAGAAGAGCATATAATGAAGCCTCATTCAGGTATAATTAAGAGATGTTGAACTGTTAATAGAGATGAAAGAAGGAGATAATAAATCACAAATAAGAGGAAAAGAAAGCAAAAAGAGTGAAAGAACATTGCTAAAGAGCACAAATGCAATGGGTTGGAGCAATAAATCTGGGTATAATTTTCACAGATGGCTGTGATTCCCAACAGTGGTATAGGATATCTATGAACAGCATTTAATTTTACTTGGTAGTTTCATTTCAATTCAGCAATTCTAAATCTATAAAATTTACAAAAGTTGAGATAATATGGCATGCTGTGTCTGGCTCATGATTTACACTAAAGGCTGTGACTCAAAATACATTACCGCACTTACACTGTCCCTGCGTTTTAGGGGTAAGGCTGTGGCAATATCATATTTAACTACAAAAACTAGCTAGCTTATTGGTTTCTATAACATTAGCAGCACTTGACGAATATTATAAATACCAGCAGCCATTTTTATCACCTCTTTTGTAAGTTTATTGGGAGATTTATACTCTTACCTAAAGATGTTTTTGTTTATAATTGGTATTACGAATTTGAAATATTGCAGTAATATATCCCAAACTATTTCAATCCAGATAAGAGGTTAATATGCTTTTTAAATGTAAGGCACAGATGAAATGATTTTAGCTTCCCATTTTCTTCATGCTTTTCATGACCAAATGAAGTTTGGGCTAAAGATGTCAGTATTAGGGGGTTACCACAGGCAGTCAAGAGTCATGTATTCACGTGACTCAATTTTCCTGGGTTTAGGGTCATCTTAAATGTCCCATCAGTTCTGAATTTCTCACTGTGTTAGCAAAACTAAAATACCTCTTGACCCACTGTTTTTGTTTCTACCATGAGGTGAAGTAGAACAGGGGAGACAATATGGAAGCAGTTGTAGGCACTCTACATGGGGAAAATAGAGCTGGTGCAGCAGAGCAAGTGCTCAAGAGAATAAACGAACTGGTAGTTCCTAGTTTATGTACTCATTTATTTTTGTTTCCTTTTATCCTAGCTAAGACTCTTCTTTCCAGTAGTTTATTGCTTGTGTACCCTCTTTATGAGATACAGTCAACTCCTTAATTGGAATTGGAATTTATCTGGAATTCCTGCATATTTCTTAAGAGTATATTTATCAGCAAAAATGACCTTCAAATTTACAAAGACTATGGTAAGAAAACAAACTCAACTTTGTTTCCACTGCACTCTGTGACTTGCAATGCCAACCATGTAAATGGAATAAAAGCTTGTGTGTGTAAAATGCAAGGACTTCCCTCTTTCACCCCACTCCAAAACACACTCACACCTACGAATCTGTGAGCATTTAGCAGTGTCTGGCACAAGACAGGCACTTAACAAATATTACTCTCCCTTTCCTTTGTATAGAACTGTATACATCACCAAAAATTGGCTTAGCGAATTAATGGCTAAAGCAAAAAGCAGGGAGATAACTCAACTGTTAGAAATGTGAGCTTTGGTATCAAAACTGGTTTTGAATTCTGATTTCACCGTGTAGCAGTTCTCTGTCCTTAGGAAAACTACTCAAACTCTGATTCTCAGTTTCTTCAAACACAAAGTAAGGATAATACCACTAGGCCACAGGATGGTTGTTAAAAGTAATAAGCTATTGCATACAAAGCACTTAACACAGTACCTAGCACATAGTATGTTCTCAATTATAAAACCAAAACATTTTAAATTAAAAAAATAGTGCATACTTACTAATCATTACAGAAATGGAAAACAGAATCCCAATGACACATTAGGATGACCACTATATAAAAAAAATAGAAAATAACAAGTTTTGGCAAATATGTAGAACCTAGTAGGGAAGGTTCTCAAAAAACTAAATGTTAGAATTGCCATATGATCCAGCAATCCCACCTGTGGGTATATATCTAAAAGAACTTAAAGCAGGATCCCAAAAAAATATTTATACACCCATGTTCATTGCAGCATTATTCACAATAGCCAAGAGGTGGAAGGAGCCAAATGTCCAGTGATAGATGAATAAAGAAAATGTAGTAAATATAAATAATCAAATACTATTCAGCCTTTAGAAATTAGGAAATTCTATTACATGCCACAACATGGATGAACCTTGAGGACACCACACTAAGTGAAATAAGCCAGTCACAAATATGAGATGTCTAGGATGCTCAAAATTATGGAAACAGAAAGTAGGAGGGTAGTCGCCAGGGACTGGGGTGGAAGGAGAGTAAAATGAGGAGTTAGTTATTCAATGGATATATAGGGTGTCAGCTTCGGGAGAGAAGACCTCTAGAGATCTGTTACAATGTAAATATAGTAAAGGTACTATACACTTGAGAATGCTTAAGAATTTTACATCATGTATTTTTGCAATTAATTGTTTTAAAAAATAGGGTCCCTAAAAAAAGAGCATGTCTGTAAGGATGTGCTTTCCAGTGCTTCTCCAGTGCCAGAATAGAAAATGGGAAGGAGAAAGGAGAAACATAGTTGAAGAAAGAAAAGAATGACCTTCAGTGCTATATATATGTTTGTGGTGTTCCTTCAGATTAGAGGGAGAGGAAAGGATATGTAACACTAGAAAAGGCTGATCGGAAGCAGCCTTTTCCCCTCAGTTTTGGGAATACTCAAAAGAGGACAGTGGAAATAACCCATCGTGAGTAAGCAAGTGTCTGTCAGTGTATTTGTATAAATGCTTTGCCTCAGAATTGGAAATGAGAAGTGTTGTGAGGAAGGACACACAACTTTGAAAAGGAGGGAAGGAAGCAAGCATTGCAGAAAAAGCCTGTAGTGTGGTGTAAGGATGATGAGTGTGAATCTTCTTTCCACCACTTGCTTCTCCTCCCTGGGAATGATCTTATTCATTACTAGAAATGGGGATGATCATTTTTTCTAAGAAGTATTGTGAGAGTTAACTCAGGATATTGTGCCTGAAATATTCCTTTCTTTTCTTTTCTTTTCTTTTTTTTTTTTTTAAATCCTATGAAACAATATACATTTTGCTTGTGTTTATTACAGGTAATCAAACTCTGGTTAACAACCAGAACAGGGAGGGGCGCCTGGGTGGCTTAGTAGGTTAAGCATCCTGTTTCATCTCAGGTCAGTTAAGCATCGGACTTGCGCTCAGGTCATGATCTCACGGCTGGTAGGTTTGAGCCCTGTGTTTGGCTCTGTGCTGACAGCTTAGAGCCTTGAACCTGCTTCAGATTCTTTGTCTTCCTCTTCTCTCTGTCCCTCCCCCCACTCTCACTCTGTCTGTCTGTCTATCTCTCTGTTTAATAAATAAACATTAACAAACAGAACAGGGAAAAGCAATAAGTAATTCCACATGCCTATTCACAGGGCTAATCATTTATTATTTTTATATCTCCTATTAGTCTTGTTTATATATGTCAATACTGATTCAGTAGGGGCGTGTAGGATAATTCTTATATTCAAACTGAAAATGTGACAGCTGGCTCCTGTGCATTGCAAGCTCTTATTAAAACAAGGATGCATGCCTAATTTTAAGACTATACACTAATGATCTTAGGAAGTTCATTAACAGAAAATTACTAAGTAGCATTACAATCATAAAGTAAACAAGTTAACGAAAATAAAGCTCTACACTAAAGTAGTTATCGCTTATTTAGAAGCTCAGTTTCATGTCACAGTGCGCGGGGTATTTTTGCCAATGTTACCTGAATATAAACAATAATAACATTGTTCCACTGGTTTCCACTTCACTGATCTATTCTTGATTTGTGTCAACTGTGAACCTTTCCACATAGGTACCTCTTTGAACTTGTTCTCAACATATCCTGTTTCTGTGCAAACAGTAGGAAGAGAAAAACTTGCATGTGTATGTGAGAAGAAAGAGAAAGATGAGGAAATAAAAGCTATCAGGAAAAGTAGAAATTTCTATGAAAATCTCCAGCACATTTTTTAAAAAACATTCTAAACAATCTTCCTGAAACATCCAACCTGAGTGTTAGCTGTTATGCAACAAATTCTTTAAGATGAGGAAGTTGAGGGGCACCTGGGTGGCTCAGTCAGTTGTGCATCCGATTTCAGCTTAGGTCATGATCTCATGGTTCATGGGTTCAAGCCCCAGGTCAGGCTCTGTGCTGACAGCTCAGAGCCTGGAGCCTGCTTCGGATTCTATGTCTCCCCTGCTTGCGCTCTGTCTCTCTCTCTCAAAAGTAAATAAACTTTAAAAAAAAGATGAGGAACTTGAACATTTAAACAGAAACAAATGACATATGCTTTGTCACATTTCCTTCTCTAAGTAAACAGAAGCTATGTCATGGTCTTCAGTTAGGTTCCACATCCAAGGTATTCTGGTTTAGAGGAATGAGCGCTAGAATTAGAGTCTGAATTCTAGGCCTATCTTTGTCCAGTGATGTGACCATGGGCACTTTAACCTTAATTCACTGGCTTTACTCTTCAAAGTTGCCTAAAATTTCTACCATTAAAGATTAGGAAATACTGCATTTTACAAGAATTCATAAGTCTGAATTTATCCTCTAGAAATAAAAAAAAAGCCTGCTTTGGACTCTCATATGAAGACATCATATGAGATGATGCCTTGGCTTGTCCAAGTGGATCAGGAAGACAGAGAAAGCCCCACTGGGAGGTGTGGAAACAATAGATACAGTAGATTGAGGCTGAGTGTCTCTATGAAAGGAGAAATATGGTGGGTTATCCTGTGTCCTTATGCTCACCTCTTTTACTCCAGGCCATGGCTGACTGAGATCTGGAAGTGACTTAGAATAAAGAGAGGTTGTTAAACGATGGCAGGAGAACAGTTGCTCAAAGGTGTCACCAGGAAGCAAGGAGAGAGACATTTCCCTGGTACTTTTCAGTGATGTTCAGGAGTGAGGATTATATCTGAGATTACATTAGAAAAAGAGAAGGTCGGGAGGAGCCAAGGTCAGGTGGAACAGCATGGAATTGTATTTTTTGCATCTTGCATCCATGAAATACAGCCAGATCAACACTAAACCTTCCTGCTCACCTAGAAAACTGATCTGAGGATTAACACAACAATCTGCACAACATGAACCAAAGAACTCAGCAGGTACATGGCATGGAGAGGTGAACTGGGGGAAAGAGAAGCTCTGCAGGGCAGGGAGCTGTTTTTGCTTGTGGACAGAGGATGGAGGGGGAAGTGGGGGGGGGGAGAATACAGGAAAAACACCCCCCCAAAAGCAGCTGGAGAGAAAGTGGTAAAGTAGAAACAGGCACAGGGACTGAACTAAAAAGGGAGAAAGGAGAAAGGAAAGGGTTTAAATTCCATTAAGACACTATAAACGGGGGAGCACAGAGTCTGAAACAGCGCAGCTCAAACCTGGTGGTGGTCTGGTGAGAAAGGTGAATCCTCAGGAGCAAAGTGAAGTCCGGAGGTCTTTGGGCCACATGGGGAGAGCCAGTTCCCCTGCTGGGAGGACACCTGGTAGAGGCTGTGTGGCTCTCCCACAGGCAAAGGCCCCAGTGGACCCAGGAAAACAACCACATTTGCTGGTGCTGGAACAAGGTCCTAAAGGGTGAAACCTAGTGCCAGATGTGTGTTGTGATTTTCCATAATCCCTGAAACACTGCTGCTACATGATCGCTTGAACTTTTTCTGGGGTTGACTGGAACCCAGCCGCAGTCTCTGGGCATCGGCAGCAGCACAGTCTTGCAAACATTCCTGGGTGCAGCCAGCACCCAGGCATTGCTCGGTGAGACCCTCCGGCAGAGGGGCAGAATGGGTCAAAGCCACAGTCCCTCAGAAGTAAGGGGTCGGGAAAAACAGCCACATCTGAGATAAAACTCAGGAGGGAGATGCTGCCTGGGGCTGGATCACAGACAGTGTGAAAGCAGGAAGTGGATGGAAGCCAGAGACAAAGGACAGGTGCGTGATTGCTAATTGGGGAAAACAGAACTCCGATACTAGAGACTGGGTAGCTGGGTGACACCATTTTCACCACTCCCACACATGCGCATATGCACATACGAACGCCACAACAATCCACCCCAGTAAGCTAAGCAGTGCCATCTAGTGGAGAATGGAGCCATTACACTAAGCCCCGCCCAACTGGACCAACTTCGCTCCTCAGGAACACAAGTCTCTGCCTGCTGAGTTTACGCACTATAAAGTACTTCATAGTTTGACTTCTAGGGGAAAATAAAGTAATTTCAATCATATTTCAGTCTGTTTGCTGGTCCATCTATTCAATTTTCTTTTTTTTCTCTTTTCCGTTTTCTTTTTCTTGAATACAGAAAGAAAATATTTATTTTTATTTTCAACTT